CAACGGGTAAATAACGAATGACGGGCATGGATAAGATTGGCTGACGATTAACAATAAGCTATAAATGGCTATCCCATTTTTCATTGTCTTTTTTTGATATTGTCCCTAGGAAGAGTTAGATAGATGCCCCCTAAACAGGACACGAGCGCAGGAATCACTCGCAATCTAGGTTGTTTTTTCAAATAATGTATAAATTAAGGTTAGAGTTATGTTTAGTATCAGACAAGGACCACAGTTTAGGTTTATTTTGGGACGAGTGCTAGAGAATATTCATCCTCCCCTCTCCTCTGGAAGTATGCGCCGTTCCACCTCTACTACTCCGCCGAAGTAATCCTATTCCCGTGACCCGTTTTGGAACCCTCTTATCACCCCTACCCTCTTCTTTCTGTCAAGAGGGTAAGTGTTTTGGTACTCCGGTAAAGATTATGATCAAGGGGCTTTCTGATTGGCATGAAAATATGTTTCTGGCTGGTTGTCGCTGTCTTGTTATATTCCTTTGTCTTATGCATTATGTTATGGGTCATAAAAGTAGACAACATCTTACAGTAATTTGATGTGTTTATTACACTCGACAGTGGATACATTGTGAGGTGCTTGTTAGTTTATCATAATTACTTCGGCATTGATTCTGTTTGGAAAAAGCTAACTCCTGTCGGAGGTTGTTTGGGTGATGTTACATTTCAGTAGGACACGAAAACAGCAAAATGTGGGGAACATTTCTAGAATGCTTGAACACGTAAGCTATAAGCTGGTCACTTAAGTGTTGAAGGCATAGCTTTTGAGGAGATTGGATGCTAAAGATATAGGCAGATGGACGACATCCTGACAACTTTGTCTAGGAAAGGAGAAAAATTTGTTTTTTTTTCCGGCTTAGTACATTAAAGTTCTCTGGGTTGGCCGATGCTGCTTATTTAAAGTCGGTTTACCCAAAGGAAAAAAACTAACACAAAAAATCTCTGGAAAATCAGATCCAAACTTAAAGTCCTAATTATATCTAATGTAGGGGCATTGTTTTAAGTACAGTTACAACAGCCTGTATACATTTGGGTTCTGTAAAATTTAAGGCGAGTTATTTTGTAAAAAATGTAGTAGCGAATAAGATTCCATGTGCGTTATTTATAGTTTATAACAGAGCTGTTTGAACGGCAACAGAAGCAGAATAAAAGGAGGAACCAATCAATGTACATAGTACAAATGCACATGACAGCGGGTTTCGTTCAATATTTCATTTTTAGTAGCAAAGCGACTTTAATGAATACCGGGTTAGTTGTTTCTTAGAAGGCATGTAACTGTAACTATGAGGGCCTTGAACATAACAATTAAACATGGAATAGAAGCTAAATAAACAACTGGCTTATTATCTGGATTTCCTCTGAATTACAAAGTCTAGTTTATTCAACCAAGCAGCCGAACTGTAATGATGGACCGTTAACACGTTCACTCAAAATGCTATTTCCCTTCCGATTAAAATGAGGACTCCCACCGAGCATAACACATGCATCGGTCGGCTTTGGAGTCCAAAAAAATGCCTCATGGAAGAAATCTACTAAACTCACCCGACATTGTCTCCTCCCAACCGTACTGTCCGTCGCGATCAGAAAGATTTCTCGGAGAGGACGCCATTGCGGAGAATAATTAGGAGGAGGAGGCAGCTCAAGGAAGAGAGCGAGAAGATGCTTTTGTGCGCTGTGCAAGTTGGCGTCTGCTAGGCAGCAAGGCAGATAATCAATGAAGCGGTTATCACAGTCGTACAGTGACAAGAGTCGTTTCACTGACACCGGTGACAGCGCCAGCAATTTCGCTAATGTGCCGTAAAACGCGAGGAGGTGACGGAGGAATGTGCTATCGTATGGCCACATGTCTCCCTCGTATCCTCCCCCGCCCCCCTTCACTTCCGTAACCACAGGAGCTCGTCCGGCCGCTTTCGCACATGCAGAGGGGCTTGCCCGTCCACCAATTAGACGTCGGCGCGCTTTCATTCGCTAGTCGCTTTATTTACTGTGCTGTTATTGGTCAGCGAAGCGTTATGACGCGTAGTGGGATGCGCCTCACGTCAGGCTGAAACTAGCTTGCTCAGTTGAGGCCCTGTCTCCGACTTGTGTGACCATAAGTATGGGCTATAAATCCACCAACTGGTAGTTCATCATGGAAGCCAGTAAACAATGTAATTTAAGTCCATACTAAATTGTGCATTTTTCCCATAAAGTATTTTCGATAAGTATTAATGTCCGCACAAATGTGCGGATATTTTCGTTAAATTTTACACAGCGATGAGTTGCGAGTCTCCTAAATCGAAAGTGATAATTTGAAAAAATGCGTTAGCTTTCTTCCAGCTAAACTGCTCTAACAGTATAGGTTTTATTCACATGCTAACGGAGTAGATAAAAGTTCCAGATATTCTGATAAAAAGTGTATTTATAAGGGAAGATAGAGTATAATTATTAACTTAAACTGACTCTATTAGGGTTGTAAATCGAAAGCGACAATAATCAATTCTAGACAACTCTAAACGTAGTGGTAAAAATAGCCAAGCTAAGTTGTTTTCTAACCATCTGCACTGCGAAGATATTTGTACAGAATCCAAAGGTTAATGTTCGCACCAAGGATTTATTATTAAGCCGTTAAATATTTCTGATTAAAACTGAAAGAAAGCGAAAGGATTTTCCTCGAAAATAAGATGGAGACCTAACTACGTAAAGGACCCGAACATATCCGAGATAGTCACCTGCTCCGCTATATGCGGAAAGACGAGTTCTGGAAAGCTGTTACGATCGTAAAACGGTAGCTCAAACGAAAATGTCATTGACCTGGGAATTCTGATTACTCTCGAATCAAGCACCAGAGACAACTAAAGATGGGTAATTATGAACACACAAGACTTACCCTATTTATAAGAGGCCCTTGCCGCGAAATTCTATACCCATCGCATATATTTAGGTTATATCCTGTGCAGCCAGTCGTACACGATGCGAATACGACTTGGTTACCCGTGTCAGAGTCAACTTTGGTGATCATTGGAGCAGTAATAAGTCAAAATTCAGTTCACTGATACAGTCACTGGAATCTGTTTACGTCCGCTCGGTCCCGAAGTGACTATTTACATTGCCCGATCCAGGTTTTAAGACTACACTTGGGCGAATGACATTCTACTTGTTGACGGGCTGTGGACCACAAAACGATAAAAAAAAGCAGTTTGGGGCTGATGCGGAGGTCATTTTTCGTGGCAATTTCACTAACTTTATCGTGGGCATCATTCCTCCTCCTCATTGCTGTTTGGGTTTGACATTCTGTCTAGGCAAGGCTCATCACTAACCAACGGTGGGCATGAACTCCATCTTAGTTACGAAGGCAAAAACCCAAATTCACTGACATATATAATGTACTGTAGCAGATATGCGTACACCGATATGTTAGAGGACCCACTCGTCCGTCCATGTTGCATTTAGAGCTCTCACTCGAGCCTCCACAGCGAGTCGACTAGGATATAGGCAGAAAGACGTTATCAGCAAAGACATGGGACACTAGGAAGGCCTTTTCTGGCTCATTTGCCGTCGTCAGCTAGTGATACCTAACTCCAGTGTTGCCGTTGAAATTGCTGCCACACTCGAGTTTTGAACTCGCGTCTCTCCGCTCAGAGGCAAACCTCCTAAACATTCAGCCAAGAGCTCACAGTCTTGCTATTATTAGATCGGGGATATAAAGTA